CCATTATGGCATTGCTAATTAGGAAATAGCTCCCCCAGCTAAAAACAGATATCAGATTTAATTAAGGAATATGATGCGCAGGTAGTAATAACATGAATAGATACGCATGAATAGCTGCGAAAGAATATTAACCTAGGATATCATACATATCTATGATTTATATATATATATAATAGTATATAATATATATATATATATATACAAATATATCTATACCCGTATTTAAAACTCGTATATTAAGGCCCGCACCGCCCATATATTGTTGCCTTCTGAAAAGTTTGCGGTAGCAACAATTGGCAGCATTAGCAAGATTTATCTTAGCCCAGTGTATAGGGTCGCACTCCTGATTTTTTATTGAGTTGTGTAAAAAAAGCGCTTCTTATACACGAGTGAAATAACGGTGGTATAATTATATAATATATATTATAATATAGCACATATATGATATAATATATTATTATTGACTGCATAATGGAGAGTATGAATGAGTCAATACACTGAGATACAGTGCTGATCTTGCTAGGCATGCGCATGGCGATGAACAGTGCCGAAGACTGTGAATGCACACATACCGCGGCACGTGCCTACCAACATATCTAATGTCAGGCACAACATATATAATGTCAAGCTGCTTGTTCTGCGAATAAGGGTTGCTGTCAGATCATAGCTCATAGATATAATATATCATAACTTTACACCATAAACTTAAGAGTAAATTACTACATTACATAGATATAATATATAATTAATTTACACGATAAACTAGCAAAATAACTAAATAAATAAATAAATAAATAAGTAAATAACTTGAGATGACTCCGGTGAACCGGTAATGACGAGTTTCGACATTCCTTCTTGCAGTCCTTATAAGTACTGATAAAACGAGCAGCGACGATGACAACGATGCAATCGTGGCGCCCCCTGGCGGCAGTGCTCGTGCTAGCGACAGCACTCCATGGCACGTGGGCGCTGGAGAACGGACTCGCAAGGACGCCACCTATGGGCTGGATGAACTGGCAGCGTTTTCGGTGCAACATCGACTGCGTGAACGACCCAGCGAACTGCATCAGCGAGCGTCTGTTCACGGACATGGCAGACATGCTGGTTGCCGACGGTTACCGCGACGCAGGTAAGTCCGCTCTACGGGCGCGCGTGCCGAAATCGAAATTAGTTAAATGAAACAAAGTAAACCTTCAAAATTTACAAAGAAATTTGATTTTGAAGGTTTACTAATTAAAATTTTAATCAGTTTAATTAAATTAATTTAAATTTTATTATTTTATTTTTTTTAAAAACGAGTATTTTTTCCGGTGGGACGGTCGCATTCTCGATTAGTTGTGAGTCTGCGGAGTAGCATTTCCGCACGGTTGACCCCTCGCTGACCCCCGCTCACTCCCCTTCTCGCCTCGGCAGGCTACGACCTGGTCGCCATCGACGACTGCTGGTCTGAGATGGAGCGTGACGCCGCGGGCAACCTGGTCGCCGACCACGAGCGCTTCCCCCACGGCATCGCCTGGCTCTCAGACTACATGCACCGGCGCGGACTCCGCCTCGCCATCTACGCCGACTTCGGCAACTACACATGCGGCGGCTGGCCGGGCAGCCAGTACCACATGGAGCAGGACGCGCAGACGTTCGCAGCGTGGGGCGTCGACGCGTTGAAATTCGACGGCTGCTACAGCCGGGTCGAGGACATGCAGGCCGGGTACGTCGCAATGTCGCATTACCTTCTCGCGACCGGCCGCCCGATCCAGTACTCGTGCAGCTGGCCCGCGTACGATCCGAACCCGGACTGGAGCGTCATACAGGAGCACTGCAACCTGTGGCGCATGTACGACGACATCCAGGACTCGTGGGTGAGCACGCTGAGTATCGTCGATCATTACTACGAGCGCACGTCGACCCTGCAGCCCCTCGCGCGGCCCGGCGCGTGGAACGACCCGGACATGCTCATCATCGGCGACTTCGGACTCAGCTACGAGCAGTCGAAGACGCAGATGGCGCTGTGGGCGATCTTCGCCGCGCCGCTGTACATGTCGAACGACCTTCGCGACATGCGGCCCTGGCAGCGCGACCTTCTGATCAACCCCAAGGTCATCGCCGTCAACCAGGACCCGCTCGGCATCCAGGGAAGCCCCGTGTTCAAGCGGAGCAGTGCGAGCGGGGAGGGGCGGGTGCGGCCGCTGCAGCCGCGGGCGCGGGGCGGGCTCGAGGCGTGGTCGCGCCCGATCGTTCCCGAGGGAAGCAGAGCCGTCGTCATCTTCAACCGCAACGACCAGGGCACGCCGCAGCACTACGCAGCACCGCTGCGCGAGCTGGGACTCACGGACGAGCGCGGATACGACGTTGAGGAGCTCTTCCTCGACTGGGACTTCGGTCACATGATGCCCGACGACACGTTCGCGGTCACGGTCAACGTCACCGGCGTCGTCATGGTTACGGCGAAGATCCACGCCGAATATTAGAGCGGCGTCGTCGCGGTTACCGCGATGATCCATGCCAGAAATTAGAGCGGCGTCGCCGTGGTTACCATGACGATCCATGCCGGATATTAGAGTGGCGTCGCCGTGGTTACCATGACGATCAACCCCAGATGTTAAAGTGGAATCGTCATAGTTACCACGACAAATATCAGATATTGAAATGGTGATGGTGGTAGTCATAGGTGGAGATTGGTTTTTACTAGGTTTATAAAGTTATCATTTTACAACTGTCGTTAAAGTAAAGACGCCTACTGATTTTCTAGATTACAAACGACTGAAATTCACTGCATAATCGAATTAGATTGTATGATTTCTCTCTCCTATCATGTTATCATCACCCACTCGGCCTCGTTAAAGAATAATATTCCACACTTGATATTCATATATTACCTAGTATCTGTATCTATATTACTTATATAAATTACTTATATAAATTACCTATACTATTCGTTTACCTTTGCCTGACCTACCTACTTGCATTTATTTACGAATAAATTTACAATTATCTATAAGAGACTACTCAGGAGAATTTCGTTGTGATGTGACATGATGATGTATTTCTATAAAATGATGTCATGAACTTACATGACCTTGCATGACATTACATGACCTTACATGACCTTGCATGACCTTACATGCAGCACAGCAGTGTAGTGATGTGCGGGCATCACACACACCCTCTGTAATCATTACACGCCCTGTCAGCAAGTCAAAATGAGAGATCACATGAGGTTTGTAGGCGAACACTGGATTATAGCGCACATACATAGAGGGAGACAGAACAGAGAGAGAGGAGGGGGAGAAGGACAGACAGACAGACAGACAGGCAGGCAGGCAGACAGGCAGGCAGGCAGGCAGGCAGGCAGGCAGGTAGATAGGTAGATAGATAGACAGATAGTCAGACAGACAGACAAACAGACAGACAGACACAGAAAGACAGATAGACAGATAGACACGTAGATATAGAGACAAAGAAACATGTAAATAGAGAGAGAGAGAGAGAGAGAGAGAGTGAAAAAGTGGGTGTGAGAGAGAGGGAGAGAGAGAGAGAGATTGAGAGATAGCGAGAGAGGGTGGGAAATCTCTTGGGAAAGCTTACTCTGCCAAATATCGTGACAAAATTCATAAACAAGAGATTAACTCACCATTATAATGAACCAGTTGTTGACAACAGTCAGTTCAAACAACGTCACTACAACAAAACAAACACCAGACGTAACAAACTATTCCAACAACATCTGCCAACACTTGCCAACATTTGACAAATGTTCCTTATTCATTAATCATGATGACGATGAAAATAATGAAAATAACAATGATAATAACGACAAAGACGATGGTGATGATAATGGTAATGATGACGATGATGATGATGACAATGAAGGCGACAATGATAATGGTGAAGATGACACTGATGTTGACGATAGTACACTTGCACAATCGACACTTACCTCCACTCATGAGGATGTTGTCAAAGCTGTTCAGATAATAGTAGTAAAATGATTCGTTGGCAGTGCTGTAGAAGGCTTCAACTGGAGTGCCCCTGAGTAATAGATATACAATGCTCTACAGACTGGCACATTAGACCTGCCACATGTCATGACCCACCCAACGTGTGAGCCATGCGCACGCGTGTGTGTGCGTGTGCGTGTGCGTGTGCGTGTGCATGTGCGTGTGCGTGTGCGTGTGCATGCACGCGTGAGTGAGAGTACTTGAATGAGTGAGCGTGTGTACATGCATACGAGTGTGCGTTCATCCGTGCGCGTGTATGCATACAAGTGTGCGTGCATGCGTGTACGTGCATGCATACATCTGTGTTCGTGCGTGTGTATGTTTGTACATGTGTGTGAGTGCCTGAGCGTGCTTGCATGCACGCACGTGCGTACATGCATGCGAGTGTATGTTTGTGTGTATGCGTGCGTGAGTGTGCTTGCATGCACGTGTGTGCGTGCGAGTGTGCACTGTTTTCTTACTTGCAGCAGTCTTTGAGTTCAGCAGATGCAAACAGTTCCATTCCGATGACCCCAAAGAAATAGTAGAGTATCATCAACACGATGGCAGCACTGTAGCAAAAGCAATAAAAAGCACAGTTTAGAGGATGTGATATATTTTGCTCTTGATATATATATATATATATATATATATATTATATATACGTATATATATATGTATATACGTGTACAGTTTACATGTATGCGTTTACAGTCTACGTGTTAGAGTTCGTGGTGAAGGTCGTCGGGCTGGGTGTGTTTACGTACCTGCGCAGTGGATGGAACGTTTTTGATTGTCTCGTCACGGTCGGAGCTGTCATCGGCTGCTTCACGGAGTTTGTCACGTCGAAATTCTCCTTTGCCATCATCATCCGGCCCCTGCGTCTACTTAGGTGAGACCCCTATCGTAATACATGGTGCCAGCCCCCCCCCTTCCACCCCCGTGATACTCGAGTGAGATCCCTATCAACGCTATCGTAATACCTTGCGTGCCCCATGTTTTCTCGAATAAGAGCCGTGGCTAAGCATATGGCATCCCCTGTACATGCAGTGGGAGGTGATAGCCCTGCGTTGACACTTGGCACCCCCTGCGTCTGCCATCGCCATGGCTACCATCATACACGTCGTCATGTATACTCTCACACCTTGCAGGATATTTCGGCTGAAGGCTCGCTATAGAGATGTGTTTGGAACGCTCTTCGTGCTCTTGCCTAGACTGTTTAGGTGATTATGTGTTGTATAGTGCATTACAATTTGTTTCCTTGAGAATAGGAAATAGCTGTACTGTTTATTTAAAATGTCAATTTGGCAATAATTGATGTTATGCCTGTGCAGCTCAATATCGTATTTAAATTAATTTTTCTGTGATAAGCAACTATAAAGTCTGCTATTCTTTGTGCATACATACTATTCATAATAGAGAAGAGTATGACACCGTTTTAACAGCGTTTTGCATAGTTTTCAACTTGTAAATATTCTATCAATATGTGAATAAATATATTCAAACTTTACCTTGTTTTCGTCTATGATTCTCCCTTAATCATATGACACCACCAATATACCTGAAAAACGTATGTGTTCTTCAAAAAAATTCTTTGACTACGACACGGTTTCACACAGTTTTCCCAAATGATCGCATGTAAAACTTTACCTTGTTTTCGTCTATGATTCTCCCTTAATCATATGACACCACCAATTTACCTGAAAATCGTATGTGTTCTTCAAAAAAGTTCTTTGAATACGAAGAATATATTTATTCACATATTGATAGAATATTTTAAAACGGTAGTTTAAAACTATGCAAAACGCTGTTAAAACGGTGTCATACTCTTCTCTATTATGTGCTCTTGATAGGTATGTATGCAGGTAGGTAGGTAAGTAGGTACTAGATAGGTAGGTAAGTAGGTAGCTAATTATGTAGGCTAGGTAGGTGTGTAGGTGTAGGTAGATAGGTAGGTAGGTACATTGGTAGGTAGGTAGGTAACTAGCTAGCCAGGTAGCTAGCTAGGTAGATAAGTAAAGCTATAAACCGACAGTGTCTAAACTCACCTCTTCTAAGCTGAAGAGGACACCGCCTATTGGCGCTCCAAACGCAACTGCCACACCAGCAGCCGAGGCAGCAGAGAGGATCTATGTAGTCACAAACAAAAGGTCATGTCAAGGACAATGTGTTAGACAAACATAGCACACCACAAACTCATCATAGCTCTGTGTATTCATATACTACATATTCCACATGATAACAACATCAACATAAGCAGCGTCTTCCCACTCA